AGTAATGAGACCGGTTTTGGTGTTTTCAATCTCTTATGTAGACATTGTAAAATGATTCGGTGTGTAATTCCCGTTTTAATGAACACACCGAAGGATGTGGAGAGAAAAGAGAGCTTAGGTTCTTCTGTCGGGGGTCTTTCATTGATTCCAGTCGGATGTGTCGACCAGCCAGGCTGATTCAGAGGAAACTCCATTACAGCTGACAGTAATGTGTATATCTTTATGTCTGTAGGTTTTACCGATGTTTGTGTGTTCTTCATCACAGGTGGTGCGAAAGCACGAAGAACGAGGAAAAGTGTCTTCCATCAGAATTCGGAAAACTTTGCCCAAACGGCCGACCAACCTGACCCCCATGGGTCTGCCCAAACCCGTCAGGTAGGAACCGTCCCTTTAATCATCAGAAACACTCACACAAACCCCCAGGAAGTCACCAGAATTTAAGCAATTTTAAGGATCAAAGGAGATGTTCCGGTTCGGCTCAGGAAGTTCCGTCCGATGTTTTCTCTGTGGGATCGAGGGAGATCTGAAAAACCTCTCTCTCTCCTCTCTGCTCTATATCTGGTCGCAGTATGAATGTGGGTTAAATCCTAGTGGGGGAGTAAAATGATGCGTGGGCTGCCTGCTGATTGGAAGCTGGTTTTGTTTTCTCTGTTTGATTACAGGCTGAAAAAGAAGGAGTTTAGTTTGGAGGAGATTTACACCAACAAGAATTTCAGCAAGCCCCCAGAAAGGTGAGCCCAACATAGATTAAGTGTTCACTGGGATTCAAACTGGGATTCAAACACTCATTCATTTAAAAAAAAAAACATGTTTTATATTATTCCATTTTTTTTAAGTAAAAAAAATATATATAATCTGGAATAAAGAGCCCCCCCACACCTCTAACCATGATGAGGGATACAAACGCTTGAGGGGCTTAAAGCCTTTTTTCACAACAATCTGTTATCTCATTTCATGTTTTTCTTAGTTCCAGTTTTTAAATTATGTCTGATTCCAGACAGGAACTTAAGAAATGAGCTGTTGTTGTAATTTAAACCACAGCCTCTTTCTTTTCCCAGCTTTCTGGGCTTTCCTGCTGCTTCCTTTAAGTTTCTTTTTTGGAGAAAATCAGTTTACTTCAATCTGCAGGGCTCCTCTGTCTCCTCTGTCCTCCATCGGCTTTAGCTTTGGCCTCATGGGCCTAATGCTAAACAAAGAATTTCTCTTTTCCTCTCTCTCTGTGTCTCAGCCGGCTGGAAACCATCTTCGAGGTGCCGCTCAGTCGCAAAAACGGCTCGGAGTCCTGGTTCGGCCAGAGGCGTGTCAAACGTTTTTTGGAGTTCTTGGAAGTCGGGGAATCCAGAAAGCCAAAGAAACCCCTCGTCGGAGTTGGAAAAGCAGGTATTTCCTCCTCCAGGACGAGACGGGGAGGCTTCCCTAAAGACGAGGCGCCTCTGGCCGCTCAGGACGTGGACTCTCTGCTCTGCTCCAAGCTGGACCAGCTGAGCCTGTGGCTGATGCACGATCAGAGAGACAGCTGACGCCGCGAGCAGACGCTGCTGCTCCCGTAACTCTGTCGGTCAGGTGTGTGTGTGTGTGTGTGTGTGTGTGTGTGTGTGTGTGTTTGTGTGTGTGTGTGTGTGTGGAGCTCGGACTGAATGATTCCACCTGTTTAATGGCCTGCTGATTCGATAACTGTACAACATAGCACTATAAATGTTTCGCCTGTGAGAAGTCGGTCATAAACATGGTGGTAAAAATGATCATCCACGATATAAAGCAAGTGTGTCTTCTTTGCCGAGGTTTTTTTTCCTCCGTCCGGGAACAGCGGCTGGTTTCCTTCGGTCAGTGTTCTCAGCCTTTGGTCCCGGTCCATCTCCCCTGTGTGGCCAATTCAACTGTTTCTCGATTGCAGATGTCGCCCCACATGTTGCCACAGACTGTTTTTTAGCAGAAAACAGTGTTTACTAGTTGAATTTCTCACTTTTGCGGCATCTTTCAGAGTCATTTCTAAGGCAGCTATTTTTTTTTCTCTTTAAGTCAAGGCTGAATTTAACTTTAAAATTTGCCAGCAAGAGATTTGTATCTGTCCAGCCAATTCTGTCCATGAAGTTTGTGCCCAATGTCTGCAAACGGCGTGCGGCATGTCGCTCTGCTCAGGACGGCGGGAGGGATTCAGAAGTCTAGTGTTTATCCTCCCGGCTGCGGAGGTCTTTTTGAATAAAGGAATACAAGGTATTTCAGGAGAGATTTTGCCTGGAGAGGAAGTGTCCATTTTTTGTTTTTCCTGAATTGTTTTTGCTGTTTATATTTCTGATGTAAGTGTCATATTTTGTGGCTGTGTGTGTTTGTGTGTGTGTGTGTGTGTGTGTGTGTGCGTGTGCGTAAATGAGGTTGCCTTACTTGTTAAAAAAGAAAAGAAAAAAAAAAGCAGTAAAATTAGATGTTTTTGTAGGTGTAAATTCTTCATTTGTGTTTTTCTAACGGCACAAAATGCATCAAGCAGCTCAGAGCACAAGAAAAACACAATTTTATTATAAAATAAATGTAAATGTTTGTATAAAAGTACAGCATATGTATACATTTGACAGTAATAAAGTTATAGCAGCCGTGCACTTATGTCAGGGTGAAGTTGGCCTGTCCTGGCTCTGTTTCCAGCTGCTCTTCACCAGGCCTGTGTGGCTGCAGTGTAGGTGCAGGCCCCCCCCCCCCCCCCCCCCCGGGGGGGGGGGGGGGGGTGTCCCCCTCCCCTTATAAACAGTAACTATAACTACGAGCGAGTTCAGTTTTCATGACCAAATTAGGAGTTGGGCTGATTCTGTGGCATCACTGTTATAAACCTTCATCTTTCATGTAAACTCCAAAGTTGGAGGGTTTTCAGCATCTCTCAAGTCTCCACTTGTTGGCATCAATAATACAAACCCAGATATTTTACCCTCACAACTTATTAAATAATGACTATGTAGTCAAAACATGTATTTAGTTATTGTGACATGTGGAAAAGCTTTACAGATGCTGGCAGCCCCCCAGAAGTCCGGCATTTTTGTCCTGTAGTCATGTTTAAAGTACAGTTAATGCTGGATTTGTTTTTTAATTTCATTTGTAACTTTCACAATGTTCATGAACGCTTGAATAAATATTATATCCTAGAGAAACACCTGGATGTTCTATGGTTTCAATGCAACTGCAGACCTCTTTTTTTTTTTTTCTCCTGTTGACCAAAAGAGTGACCAGCCCCCCGGGAGTCTCGGTTTGCTTCCTGTAACTTCTTCTTTCATCACGTGACGCGCGCCGGTTTAGTTTATTAGCGTGACGAGATAGGAGACCAGCACCACGAGCAGGAAAAGCGTCCCCAGGAGGCCGAACCAGGTCAGGATGGAGATGACGCCAAATTTTTGGGCCCTCTTTGAAAACGCCGCAGCCGCCTCTGGGTCTTTCGCCAGCTCAGCCTAGGGCAGAAAAAACGGTCTCAGTTTAGGGCTGAAATCTAATCTGTGTACAGAACGAACAGCACAAAGACCCAGGAGGGAAGGGCTGCAGAGCCAAAACAGGGGAATCATTTCTTTCAGGCTTGGACATTGTGCAAATAAGAGAAAGGCACCTTGACTGAGTAGGTCAGAGCTTTGACTCCGATGCAGGAGCAGCCGCAGAGGATGCTGCAGTAGGCCAGCTTCCTCTGGTGCTCGTCTCTGCAAAAGGCAAGAGCCATTTTTTTCAGCCCGCCGGTCCTCTGGTTCCCGGTTTCCTGGTTTTGTTCGCCCCCCGACCCACCGATGATGGCCAGCGGGACCTCCTCTGCTCGCACCTGCTGCAGGTCGGACATCTCTGAGGAGAGAGGAGCAGGTTTAGGGGAGATTCTCTCACTGAGGGCGTGCTGACTTAGACCGGTTTCATTTGTGGCCGACCAGACCAGACCTTCACTGCATTCAACCTGTAACATTCACAATCGGGCCCTAATAGACGGATCACTATGAAATAATGTCCTGATCACCAGAGAGCTCAGGATGGGATCAAACCAGGACTTTAGCTGAACTACCGCTCCGAGTTGTTGATTGCAACAGAGCAAACCCGTATAATTGACCTCATTGTCATTGGTTTCGGTGGTCACACCTGTCCAGCTGCAGTTTGGGTTTCCCAACGGGATATCCGATCTGTAAAGTGACCCGAAATGCTGTTCGTATTGTTCGAACTGGCTACTGAGCAGTTTTCTGCAACAGGAATAAAAAGATCCCACCGCACCAAGCGAGTCTGAGCCTGTTCCGCCAGAGAAGTGCTTTGTAATCGCAGAGTTTTTAGGCCTGTGCACCTCACAAATGAAACGGAAAGCACCCGCTGAGCGGTGTTCCCCTTTGAGTAAACACCACGCAAAAAGAGTTGAAAAACTCGTATGTTCGCTCCTTTGAAATATTTCAGACTTCCTTCTTGGCCGAGACGTTGTCATGGCATGATAAAGGAGAAAAAAAAACAATAGCTCAAAGTTTTCTCTGATAGGATCTGCCATGCCTGCATTTTTTTTGGGTGTCTGTCTCTGTGACATAACACAGTCCTGTGAATCATTGGTCGAGTGGTTTGTTTCCCTAAAGTTAAAGACTGTAGATTAGTACAGTAAATACTAACTAGTTAATAAAGCGTATCTTATTGTTTTAACAAGAAAACCGTGGCCAGGTTAAGAATATTAGAATCAGTTTACGCCAAACAGGCCGCCTTCACTCCAGGACCCTTATCTTAGAAGTATGTTAAAGTACAAACCTGAGTCAGTTCAGAAGGTAATCCCCTTCTCCCAAAGGGTCCAATTATGTCTGAATAATAAAGGTTATTATGTTGTTGTGTCCTTAGAGGTATTCCCCCCGTCAGGTGGCAGCTGCAGCTTCAGGCTTATTCCGTCAAACTTTAAACATTCAGAGAAAACTTCCACACGCGTGTGTCCATAAATCCCTCCTGGGAACTCCTGAGGTGAAGCGACTGCTCAGGCCGAGACTCCCGTGAAGCTTCGGAGCTGAATGACAGGAAGGAGAGCGTGCACTGAAACTCCCCGACACTTGTGAAACTCCCACACCCATTTTTGGCCAAGATGTAGCCTTTGTCGCTCTCTTTTCCTCCCACACGTCATCTGGCTCCCTCACTCTGCTCCTCCTGTTAGTCACAGGTGATAAACAGCCCTCTTACAACCCTCTGTAGCTTTCCACATTCCAGAGGAGCTGGGGAGGGGTTGTCGGCACTTGTCTCACGGTGAGATGAAGGCAGATACCAAGCTGCCCCATTCAGTCCAAATTCACTGTGAAAGACCTTTTATGCTTGTTTTCGTCACCACTTGCCCTTTAATATGTCTGGTTTTTACACGGTTTTCTTTATTCCCGCCACGTCTCTGTTCTCTGACCTGAAGATAAGACACATTTATGCCCCTTGACTCAGCCATTGATGACATCATAAAGGCATTTTTGAAGTGATGGCTCCGCCCACTGTTCAAATAAAGGCCTCCAACCTCAGGGTGAAGGTGGGACAGACCTTTCCCGTCCAGCGGCCGTGGTCACAGCGTCCAGACACCTGCGTCTGGTTGTACCAGGCGGGTTCTGATTTGCTCTAACAGCGTGGGAACAACAGCAATGTGTCACGGCTGGATTAATGTCCAATCACTGCCTGCAGTCTGCTCCCAGGTTTAGGAGACACCTCTCAGATCAGGAGACGAATCATCCATTCTTTACTCCTTAATTACCAGATTCAGGGTCATGATCAGTTGGAGTCTATCCCAGCCACCATTGGATGCCCTACACAAATCACAGTGACACACAGACAAATAGTGATCCATGAATAAATTAGAATCACCAATTAACCTATCATGCATGTTTTGGACTGTTGAAGGAAGCTGGAGTTTTCTGTTACAAGCCTGAGAGGAGATTTAAACCAGCTTTTCTATGAGGATCTTTCAGGAGGTTCATGCTGAAACTTGAGGATTAAAGAAAATCCTGACTATATTTTTTGGCTGAAATGCTACAAACAGAAACAACACTTTTTTTAAACATCTGAGGGGTGTGGACAAACATGACTACTTGGTTTATGGAAGTTACATGCAACATTTCGCTATAAATACTGACGCACTTAAACTTCCTCTGAAGTCAGCTGTCTCAAAACCTCCCTCAGAGTTGCGTCACCAGTCTGCTGTGCATGTGTACAGCTTTGCTTGATGTTATCTGTGTTTGGCTCCTTCCTAAATTCCACATTGATGTATATTATTATGATTCTGGCCCCCGGACTCAAGTGTTTCTCAAAGATTAAACCAATTTAAGCTTTTTGTTGTTGAAATGTTAAGGCTGCAGGTCTGAAAAAGAAAATAAAAGATTTAATTAATGCTTCCAGACAATAATCAATTAGTGTTGAGCAGAACACATACATTTCCCTAAACCAGATGAGAGTATTTCTTTTTTAAATGAAGCCGACAATTGGATTTTTTGTTTAGATGGAATGTAAAACTGGAATTCACAAAATAATTAGAGAAAGCTTTTTGCTTTGTGGCTTTGGACTGTATTTAACATTTGTATAATCTAGTGCAAATACTCAGTGTGAATGTGTGTGTCTTTTATAAGTTAGAGAGCCCAAAGAGTCTGATTTGGTTTGGTTTGGTGGGAAATGTTTTTAGATATCTGTAAAGATATGTGATATCTGTGTTTTCAGCTTCAGAATTAAGTCTGTAATAATTACTGTAAACTTTTTATTACTACTGAAATTGACTTGTTACTTGTTATTATAGAATTTATTTCAAATGACCTAAACCTAAAAATAAAGAATAACATAAAGAATGAGATTCTTATGTATAATAAATCTGTTTTTTCTTCATGTATCAGTCACATTTCCAATGAAGACGTTATTTAAGGCATTATTTGAAACATTAGAAGTTAGTCTATGTTTCAAAGCTTTATGATAAAATATAGTTTGACAAAAATAAAAAATGAAAATCAAATGTCGTTATGAAATACTTCTTGTTTTGGCCTGGATAAAAGCCCAAATGTCACGTTCTAACATGCTGGCCGTGAGCTTGATTGATGGCCCCGCCCCTAAATCCATATCTACCAATGAGAACTCTGAGGGCGGAGCCTAATCCGGAAATACTAAACAGAAACAATAAAGCTCGGGAAATGACACGTCGGCTTTGAGCTTCAACAGTCCAAAATGCGCTTTAAGCAAATAAATGTTACTGTTTGTTAGACTACAGCATAGAACAGTGTGATACAAACATTTTAATCTTCTTCTGGCCCCTAAGTTCACCCTAAAATGGAGAAAGATACGGGTGTGCTTTTGGCAACAGAGAGGTATGGCAGTGCACAGAGCTGGAAGTATTTAGCAAAGGAAGGAGGGATGGAGAGAAGGAGGGAAGGACGGGAAAGCGAATCAAGAGGAAACACTCTTTTCGGAGTTTTTAAAGTAAGACTTGATTAAATGTACATACAGCTGCACAGATCTATTCACCAAATGGTCCTGACACCATATCCTTTTATTTCAGAGTGTCTTTCTGCCTCAAGGCTATCCGGAGAGTGTCAGTGATGACTACCTGCAGTACCAGTTCTGGGATACTTTGCAGGTGCTCTCACCACACACACACACACGCACACACACAGACACACCAAAACCAAACACGGTTATCATCATGGGGTGCATTGAAACTCCAACCCTCCTTTTGTCTTGCAGGCGTTTTCCAGCTCCCTGTCAGGCACTCTGGCAACTCAGGCCTCTCTGAAAGGTGTTGGCGTCGGAAACCAGGAAGCAACCGTGGCAGCGGCCACGGTCACCTGGTTATTAAGAGGTGGAAACCTTTTAAAAGATTTCACAAAGAAACTACCCCTTGTGGTTTGTATGCTCGGTTATTGTTAGCTGAAGCCCAATGTTTCCCCTGCAGATGGAACCGGCATGTTGGGGAGAATCCTCTTTGCCTGGCAGAAAGGGTAAGCTCATGCCAGTGTCTGTGCTCTTTTTTTTAGCCAGATTCCCTCAACTGATTCAAACGCATTTTAAATTGTTTCTGTTTCTGCTTTCTAGGAGTAAGCTGGACTCTGAAGCCAAAAAGTGGAGGTATGCACAAAAGTGGGAACATGAGCTTCTTGGAGTCAGTTCACATCTGATTTGGTGATGGTCCTTTCCCTTCCTTCCACCTCAGACTTTTTGCCGACGTTCTCAATGACATCGCCATGTTCATGGAAATCTTGGCTCCCCACTTTCCCGCTTGCTTCACTTTGGTAGTGTGCACTGCAGGAATATTCAAGGTAACAGCCCACCACCTTCCTCAGGAGGTCCCCATCAGCAGGGATGTACTTTGTATGTTATCAGGAAAGGCCAAAAGACCTGGCAGTGTTCAGTCCTCCTATGTTGCATCAGAGATGAAATGTTGAAAAGAGTTAAAACAGAGTGATGTTGTCCAGTGAATAAGTGATTCCTTAGACACTGAGCCCTGCGGATGTCCTTTCCAGTCCATTGTTGGAGTGGCAGGCGGAGCGACCAGGGCAGCGCTGACCGTCCATCAGGCGCGCAGGGACAACATGGCCGACATCTCTGCCAAAGACGGCAGCCAGGTGGCCGATTTGTAATGTTTATGAAACGGGTAGACTGTTTCAGTTCTACTCGGATCTGATAGAAAGGTCTCTTTTACTTCAAATATTGGAAAATGAAAGTTTGAAATTGGATATTAATATTATTATAAAGAAGGGTATTGTGTTTATCACTTGCAGGAGACTCTAGTGAATTTGGCTGGACTGCTGGTCAGCTTGATACTCATCCCCCTCATCACGGATAACCCCGTGTGAGTCTCCCACCATCATGTCCAGCTCACAGTAGACGGCAGAGTGTGTGTTCTGAACATTAACGGTGGAGGCTGCATGCCTGTCCTCTTCCCTTTCTCCCCCTCTCAGACTGACTGTCAGCCTCTTCTTCCTCTTCACCACCCTTCATCTCTTTGCCAACTACAAAGCCGTGCGTGCAGTTGTGATGGAGAGCTTTAACGAGGCCCGGCTTTCCATCGTGCTGCAGCAGTTCCTGAGGGACGGACGAATCCTGAGTCCTCCGGAGGCCAACCAGAGAGAACCAGTATTCTTTGGTGTGTAACCAGCTTTAATTCAAGCTGGGGGTTTTTTTGGTACCATTGGGTAGGTAAAATCATTGCTTTGTTATGCTTTAAAAATATCCTTTTTTGTGTAGAGCTTGGGAAAACTGCACCAATCAAACTTGGAGTGCGGTTGCAGGATGTTGTGCAGAGGTAACTGTACACGACCTGTTTGGTTAGTATTATTTAAAGCTCAACACAGGTTTATGTAACTCTGCTTTTTTTTTTTTTCAGCCCAGAAGAGTTGAATTTGGCTTTGAAGGAAAACGAGATGCCTTACCTCATCGGATTCACAAATGGTATCAAGTCTGTTTCCACAAAATGGCTGCAAGCTCACTGTGCTTTATAAGGTTTATTAAAAAAAAAACAACCTCTGTCTTGTAGGCTGTGTGTGTGTTTGTTTGGGACCAGAAGCATCAGTCCGTGACGAAATCAAGGCAGCGTGTCAGGCTGTGTGCCTCAGCAACATGTTGAGCAACCAGAAGTCCAAAGTACCTACATCTGCAAGTCCAAAGCAGCAAAGTGAGCCTTCACCTCCTTTAATTGTGCCTCAAAATTGCGTTTAATGATGTTACAACATATAAAAACTATGTTTTTTTTCTCAAATGAAAGATTCCTGGGATTTGGTGTGTGAAAGTCGTAAACTCATTGATGCAAATTTCCCCCTGTTTCTCAAAGGTGAGCTCAACTATTACATTCTTGACTTTCATATTAATTTTTATCTTGTGCTTTTAATCATTTATACTTATGTAAGCATTCTTCTGATCTGATACCCAGGTGTGGAAGCAGCAGGATGGGACACAAGGAGAACTCTGCTGGACTGGGATGAGTGGAGAGTCAAATGGAGAACTAAAAGCAATTGAGCAGCATTATATTGTTTTTATTTTATTTTACATACTTTAATGTCTGTAAGACAACTATATTTTAGGGCTGTCTCATTTGGGGCATTCTTTAATTTTTCTATGATGTAAACTTAAGAATATTTTGTACAGGAATCAGTTGAATTTCTTGTAATAAAAAAATACCAAAAGTTGGCTTTCACCAAAGATTAGTTGGTATGGTTTATTTATTTGCAAGCTTGTCAAACGAATTCAATAACTGAGTTTTCCCTCATGGGGGCATCATCAAACCTTTACTTCCGGAAATAATGCGACGAAGAAGAAGCAAGCCGTCCAACCGTTCTGCCGTTGTGTCAAATTAAGACTTCCCGTTAAAATTGGGATTAAATCACGTCCTATATAAAAATAACAAATTAGTTAATTGTGCAACTGTTCTGTGAAATACTGATTCTGGTTATCGGAGCAATTGCATGCACTGCTGAAAAAATGTAAACAATATTTTATCGTATCTGTGTTTTTGGCATCAAAAGTGATACAGTCGCCATTATTCTGAAGTTTCTCACCGGATATAGAAGGCCCGTTGTGGCTAACTTGATATTTTCTTGCAATATTAGCAGAAACAAAAACTATTTGTGTACGAGTTTAACCCTTCTCATTTTATAAATGGGAAGATATACCTGTGCTTACAACTGTGAGAATACAAGCGACTCAGATGTGAAGTTCTTTAAGTAAGTAGTTAGTTCAAGAAATAAATAATTACCTACAAGCGGCTAGCCGTTTTCATTTGTGATGCGAAGCTAGATAACAAAGTTTTGACATAGGTTGTACTTATTTGAATAGTTCAGAGATATTTTCTCTCGTTTTATATTTCCGACAGACTAAAAATAGCCCTTCTGTCTTTCATGAAAGGAGTGAATTAAGTTTCTTACTATTTGCAGTACAGCTGGAGGCAGACAGGCTACATTACATCTATTAGTGCTTTAATGAAAGGTTAAAAGAAATAAAAATGAACAGCATTGGCTTTGAGATAATAAAAAATAACCTTTACAACAGTATAAGTTGAATGATTTGGGACTAATATACTGCATTGGTAATTTAAAACTAATTAATAAAATATCTAATATAGTAAATGTTGGCTATAATTGGACTAAAAGGAATGAGCTGCTGGAACTTGAATTTGCTTAAAAGACTCTTCCCAAGGGACAAATCAAGTCAAACCTAAGTCTCTCTGACATTGAAATCTGAAGAGTCCTTTTAATCGATCGAGAAATAAATTGTTCACCTTTGAATTAAGGTAACTGTAAAATGGTTTTTCAATAGGGACCAATTCTCTGTAAGATGATGGGTCTATGCCGATACCAATATTAGAAATAATGATGTAGCCAACAGTTAAAACTTGACTGGTTTGTTTGTGTCTTCTATATGAATATCAGTGAAACAATACAGGCAAAATGACGTACCAATGGTATTTCCGCTTCTTTGGATTGCCTCAAACACATTAATTTAAAGGCATGCACCATCTAGTAGTAGAACCATCCATCCATCCAGAGGTGGAAAATTAGGATTTTGGTATGTTTAACTTTTTCTACTCAATGACCTTTTGCTGTGGATATTGAACGCCACCAGGACATCTACAGCTGCGGGGTCAGGGCAAAATCAATCCATCCATCCATTTTCTATACACAAAATATCCCATTCCAGCCATCAAAGTCGATGCAGTATCAGATAAAGCACAGTTACTGTCCATAGTTTATTTTATCGTCTGTGCAGACAGACAGTTTGTAGTCAACAAGCAGAGTTTTTAGAGTTATCAGGGCCACGTTAATCCTAAGAACCTATAAAAAGGGTGATTTATGTTGGATTTTCCTGATATTTAAACATTAGGAACAGCTTCCACGCTTTGGGACTAGTCGGTGGGAGTTTTACCTGAAAGACGGCTGGTGCTGTTGTGATGTTGTGATAACATGTCTGTCACTGACTACCGTCCGTGTGATGAGTCCTGCCTGAACGAGCACGTTTTCCTCTCCGTCCGTCCCACTTTAGGTTTCCCCTGTATAATCCCAGGAAACTCAAAAAATGGCTCACGAACATGAGGTGGAAGGACTGGACTCCGACTCGCTTCTCTGTGCTGTGCAGCCGTCACTTCGAGGAGCAGCACCTCGACAGATCGGGGAAAAGCGTGACGCTCCGAGAGGACGCCGTGCCCACCCTATTTTCCCCGACTGAAAACACACAGAAGAAAAAGGTTTGTGTTTATGGGGGCTGAAGGCTGCTCGGGGCTAACGGTGTCTGACTGCTGTTTGTCCCCCTGACGCAGGCCTCGGCTAACACCAAACGGAAGAGACACAAGGTGAGGCTCTGACCACGTTTTAACAGAATATCGTCCACCGCAAACCATCTAAACATGCCGTGTTGTAAATCCAGCCGCCGGGGCCCAAAGCCTCAGAGAACGAGTCAGCTCAGTCTGCAGCCGCCCCCCCCACCAGGGCAAAGAATCAGAACAAAGTCCTCAGCCACACAGAACAACAGCCTCCAGGGTACGTATCAGCACACAAAGAGCCGTTAATCCACTAACATGTTTCGTTTGAAAGGTCTCATAATGCCTTTGGTCTCAAGCTTTTGTTCAGCAAATTGCGTCAAAGTAAAATCAAATGGAATGCAGCTGTCATAGTTTCTGTTTTCAGTTCATTTCGTGGTAAAATAATCCAAACACTAATTTCTGCATTCAAAGGATTTAAGGGTGGATTATGAGTGCTATTTTCTCCCCATGTGTTTAGTGTGTTTTCTATTGTGTGCTTAGCAACAGAGACCCCAGAAAACCAGAGAAATGGAGAGTGATAGTGGACGAAGGGTTAATGAAGATCCAGTCCTTCCCACATTTCTTTCATGGAGATTACTGTGTCCCACAGGTTGGTCTGTTCACACTAAGCTGACACACAGGCGCTTACTTCCACCAGTTCATTTAGTTATGTCTGTATTTGTCTCAACAGAACATCCACTGGGCTCCAGATAATAATTTCAGAGTAAGTTAAACAGTAATAATTATTTAATAAAGCGTTTGTGAATTGTGATTTTAATCACATGCTTTTCTGTGTTTTACAGACAGAATGCAAAGACTCAGAAAATGTGATTGAGGTGGGTTCATGCTTCCACAGTAAGCGTTAGGAGGTTGGATATGCTCCAAAGTGCTGGTTAAAGATGGCTGCTCCTCTGCATGTGGTCCCTCCTGCTGCAGGTGGGCGAGGCGTGGCAGTGGCTGGCTCTGGACGTCAGAGGCCCGCTGCCTCAGACTCTGAACGGACACAGGTACATTTTGTCCCTGACGGACTTCTTCTCCAAATGGGTGGAGGCCGTCCCCATGCCCTCCTGCCTCCCTCCAGATGTGGCCAAGAACATCGCAGACATCATCGCCCACTTCGGTTTCCCGCTCAGAATCCTTTCCAGACTTCCCCACGACATCGTCCACAAAGTGAGCTCCTCTGGGATTCAGCCGCTTAGACACAGAAGCTCTTAGAAATCTTTTGAAGGCATGTAGTCAATGAAAATCAGGCCTGTTGAAAACCTGCAAGGGGGCGAGAGTCGGACACTTTAGTCATATATTTATACTCACTTTTCTCCAACTCTGAAAGAAAAAGAGAAATAAAGTAATACGTTTCTCATTTATACATGACACCTGATGCAAACAGCGTGCATTCACGGTTCTTAAATGAGACATTTCATCTCGTTAAATGAGCAGATTCTGATTGCAGTGATCAGCTCAGCAGCAGAAATAATCATTTTATGAGGTATCGTGTCTGAATGCGACTCTGTTCCAGATCAACCGAGAGTTAAAGGATCAGCTGAAGGAGTCCGTGGCTCTCCTGGTGTATCACCAGCAGACGGGCACGGCAGATCTGATCACGCCACAGACCATTGACAGGTGTGTATGCAAAGAGAGTGTGTCCGTTTTGGAGTTATTTATTCACAGCGCTTAAGAAATGTATGATTCCAGCCCCCAGCGTGAGGCGTCTGCCCTAAAGGAGCAGCATCGGTATTACTGTAATGGTTAATACTTCAGTATGTTGCAGCTCTTTGCCCAAATGATATTTTTAACACTAAAATAGAAATATTATTGTTATCAACACATTTGCAAATATTCTGTTTTACCAAAAAAAAGTTGAAAACAATGAGAAACACCATTATTTCTGGTTAAGATTTCAAATTCTGTTTATTTTCTGTCTTATTTTTGACAGGAAAGATCATTTTAGTGTTTGAATGTTCAGCTTGATGCATTTCTGACTTCCCAGACAAGCCGAAATTGGCAGAAATTTTGGAGGAAAAGGGGGAATTTGATTTGAATTGAAGCTCCTCTGTCCTCTGTGTGGGTTTACGGTCGGTGAATGAAAGTTTTTCCCTCTTCTGGAACAGGATGGTGAGTGATCTGGTGGAGGAGCACGCAGCGGACTGGGACGTTTACCTGCCCGCCAAAGTCTTCAGTCTGTGCTTCAGAGAGCATTCGGAGACTAAAGAGAGGCCTTTTTCACTGCTCTGCTGTAGGGGACGAGAGCCGGTTCACTCTCCCAGGGGACTGGATGTAGGTATTAGACACCCAGTCTGAACCCACCTTTTACTTCTGCCCGGATGTTGAAACTTTCTCTTTTTTCTCACCTCTCTTTTCCACAGTATACTTCTTCCAAGATCCAAGAGAGTGTTTTTGTGGTGAGATAGGTGAGTTCCATACATTTCTCACTTTTGTTCTGTGTGCTTCTGTCTGATAAGATTACAACCAGAGGTGGGACACGGTACAAAAAAGAGAAAAAGAATGGCGGTAAATGGAGGCTTTGTGGGAAATAGATCTCAGTTAATCACATTTTTAACCAATAGCATTATCTGATTAAAGAAGCCTAGACACTTCAAATAAATGCTGAGTGATGACTGAATTAATGACTAAACTCAGAACTTACAACTTTAAATAGACATTTGCAGTGTACTTCATGTGAAAAGGGTGTAACAGACATTATGATTAAGAAAAAATGTGTGTTTATTACCCAGGAGTGTCATGTTTGAGACATTTTTAAGCTAAATTGAGGGTAAATGAGGCAAGTGTGTGGCTGATTTATCAGTTTACTGTAATTTGTGAATGTTGTTGTGAAGCTCCATCTCTTAACTTTCAACTCCTAACTTTACTGAAATGAAATTTCTGTAATGAACATTTACAGTCTAAGCCCAAATTATAACTTTGATTCCACTTGAAAATATTTCACAAACATTTGACAATGTAACTGGAACTTTTCCAGCAGTAACTGGCCACTCGTCTCCCATTTCAGGTCAATTGAATCTGCAGCCAAGCTGGACTCCTTTTCAGATGGAAACTGAGGAAGAAGAATGTTTTTTCCCGTTCTTGGTACTTCTGACAGTGCAAATGTCATTTCAGCATACTCAACTCTCCCAAAGAATCACAGAATCCTCCAACTTTTTCAGGTTAAGCGTCTGTTCTGGATTTATTTTCACATTTGTCTCTCTTGTGGTGGAGTCACATTTTCAGCCTCCAGGATGAGGAATTTCATTTGTTAATATTATTAAACATGAATGTTGTAGATGATTTTTTCTGCATTTTAAGGTGGATTAAGAACAAAATTTGTGGAATTACATCAGAAATATAAATGTCTGCTTTTTATCTGGTCATTATTACTCTAGCTATTCTCATTTAGTCAGTCTCTAGGTTTTTGGTGCACCAATGCAGCATGGCTTGACTTTATGCTTTAAACAGAACTATTTATTTTATTTCAGCAATAAATGAAATCACAACTTTGGAAAAATGTGTGGTTTGAACACATTTTATATGATTTATAAGGAAAAATAAGGAAAAAAAATTCTGCTTGTTTTTTAAAGAACAAAATGGAAGAAAACGGTGAATTAATCAAAGTAATTTGTTTTAACTTTATTGGATTTTACAATTAACTGATTTCTTTTCAGTGTGGATTCTTAAAAAAGACATTTTTCATTTCCAGAATTAATTTAGATTCCAACAGAGATTTGGACTGTTTTACAGTCATGACATTGCATGAATATCTGTCTTTTTTCCAACCTGCTGCAAAAGCAACTTAAAATTTGGATTGCTGTCCTATTGATCTATGAATAAGGAATCAGCTGATAAACAAACAGCGGTGTGTATAACAAACCTTATACCAAGGTTGCCTCAACTAACTGATTATTTGTCTGGTAAGTGGAATTTAAAAAGCAAATATAAAAATAAAAAAAACACGCGCGGTGGTCGTCGAACCCCTGAAAACGCGCCCTTTGGCGCCCCCTGCCGGCAGGTCGAGGAGCTCCGGTTTTCCGCCGTTGTGAGGTCCGATTTTGTCGCTCTGCGGTGGAGTTTTTTTTTCTGTGTGCAGTCAACCTCAAGAAATGGTGAGTGAGAAAGACAGATACAGCTCACAGAGTAAACAGCCTACTAACGTGACAAACCCCACCCTGGTTTTGTCACGTTTCAGCTCGCTTTGTGGCAACATGTCGTTTGAAGCCGAGCCACGCTTGACATTAAGCCGTTTTCCAAACGATGGTGTCTGTGTTTAGCTACACGTTGCTAACTGGACTAGCTTCCGCTGCGTTGGGTAACGTCAACAGTCCAGCTCATGGTAGCTAGCATTGTCTTTTATGAGTGCTAAAATTGACTACAGATTCAATTAAAACGGGTTCAGACGAAGGGCCTGTAATTCAACCTGCTTCTGAACGTGTGTCAGCTAAAAATAATGGACACTTTTAATCGAATAGCAAGCTATCCACAAAGAAGCAATGTTTGCCGGCTAATGCTACAATCTATCAAACAACTTAGAAGGAAATGTTTTATGCGGGTTTAATAAGCTGTTAGTGGGTCTCAGCAAAATGTGTATTGTGTAGCTGTTAAGTTGGGGAGGGCTACACAGTTACTTTTCCTAGTGTTTTGGAAAGGTGCTGTTAGCTAAAATTTGGTAAAACGAGTAGCTTTGGCTAGCACTGGAAGAGCTAAGTTATCGTCGTGATCACAACCAACTTAAGTGCTGTCGCTATTAAAACGACCGACAGGGGCAAAGATTGGTGTGAAATAATTCACTATAATGTTGGCACAGTCGTTAACGTCCACTTTAGGTCTATAAAGTCCCAAACAGATTGTTTTACAACAGGAAAAAACACCTATAGCTGGAATGAGCTTATATAGTGATTTTGATTACACAGGCTTTTTTGACATTATTTTGGATGGATTTTAGTCCCTTTCTGCTGATTTAGAAGACAAAAAATGTATTTATTGTACACAACCGGAGCTTTACACAAAGGAAGCTCCTTTCCTTTCCAGAGAATATGCGTTTGACTGAACTAAAACTGGATTGTCATCTTGTTTTATGGCTTCAGAGGAAATGTCTAAAAGTCAATTAAGTCTCTGAGATAGTAAAGTTTTATAGTTTTGCCATTTACACATCTCTTCAAGCCGTCTGTGTCTAATTCTTACCATTTCCTTTGTGTCCTTGTTCCACTCAGGACGTGTTTTTAATGATCCGACGTCACAAGACGACCATCTTCACAGATGCCAAAGAGTCCACCACAGTCTACGACCTGAAACGCATCGTGGAAGGCATTTTAAAGAGGGCACCCGAAGACCAGAGGCTTTATAAGGTGAAATATAGCACAGGAAAACTTCAGATAAAAACCTTTCTCTGATAGTTTCGAGGGCTGGGACTTTATCATGTTAAAAACCAAACTGTGGAGAACAAGCCGCAGACTCTCTGGTGCTTTGTTTTCCAGGATGACCTGCTGCTCAGTGACACTCAGACTCTTGGAAACTGCGGCTTCACAAATCAAACGGCTCGACCTCAGGCCCCAGCCACGGTGGGATTAGCTTTTCGTATCAGTGGTGAGTTCCCCCGACCCCCGACCCAACCCGGTCCGGCCCTTTGCGCTTTGAGCTCAGGTTCATTTTCCGCTCGTGTTATGCTCCTGTTTTTCCCCAGATGATTCATTTGAGCAGCTGAGGATCGAGCCCTTCTCCACTCCCCCCGAGCTGCCTGACGTCATGAAGCCGCAGGACTCGGGCAGCACAGCCAACGAGCAGGCCGTGCAGTGAGGGAAGCCAGTGGGATATCCGATGGGTCACAGGGAGGACACACAGGGGGAGGGAGGGGTTGGATTTTTTGGAGGCGGTGCCTCAGCGGGTGACGCTTTCCAGAGTGAACGACAGATCTTCTGCTGGGCACAAACGATTACAAACACGGATTCCCCTTGAAAAGCTTCAAAGTGGTAAATTTGTCTTGAAATTGGAGAACGCATGACAGAAAAAAGTAGAGTTCCACACAGCACCCCTCAGAGACACCTGACGGACTTGTCGCAACACTGTCAGTCATCCATGGGATTGGTGAAGGCTGAACTTATTTAATGAATTTTAGACTTTATTTGGAGTAGGGTCAGTGCCGCCTTACGTATGGTCTTTAGTTTGCTGGCTTCAGAGTCCAAGTTGGCAAATTGTAACATTTTTAGGCTGTTATGTTTGTGTGTTTCTTCATTAAACTATTACCAGGGTTAATATTTTTCTTCTTTTTTGACCTGAGTATGTGTTGCTAGGACTTTGTGAATTTCTAAGTTACCATCTGTATTTGATAAATTTTGAACAAATTTCTAAAATAAAAATGCGCTCGCTTGTTTGCGGGTGTTATGATGAAAGCTTCTTTGTACTTTTGCCAGTCAGTAATTCATATTTTCATGGTGTTGCGGCCCCAAAACAGAGACTGAAAGTGATCACAGTAAGTGGTGTGGTCAGATCAACTTGTGTCCAGGCTGTAAAGTCTTAGAGGTGAAATTTAGTGGCTCGATTTGCTCAAAGTTGGCATGACAAGCCTTTGGTTAGCGGGCAGGATGTCCAGCTGAAGGCCCCCGTATCCCTGTTGCTGCTCTTTTTGTAGTTTACACCCTGAGTACATTTCTTCCCCCCTCGAATTTTAAAGATGAATCAGCAATGTCATCTGCAAACCAACACATCAAATTACCGAACACAAGTTTTCATAGTTTAGGTACTTTCATTGCATTCAAATGTGTTACCGCAGGAAAAGTTTATTCTGATCTGGGGATGTTGGATGAACCCATTTACGCTGCATTAACAAAAAGCCTGAAAATTAAGCCTGTTAAACAGTGGGAAGTTCAGAGTTGCACTTGTAAACAATTTGAAATAAAAAATCTTTTTTCACCTCTGTGTACTGTGGTGATTTAGCACTGTTTAGAATGGTCATTGATGGTAATAATCTAATGACAGTGTTGTACATATTTTCTATATTTGTCTATTATGCATAACTCAAGCTGGTAGAAAAGTTCTTGCTTGAATGAGTTCTGATGTTTAAGATGTATAACATAAAAATATGTTTGTTTCTGTGTAGATGTAACTTTATACATTTGTTCTGTTGCTTCAGTGTCTGGGTCATGTTTTACAAAACAACCCAATAACTGAAATATGTAAGGAAATTTCAACAAGAAAAATAAAATGTATTTTTATATGATTTACAATAATGATTAATTAGTGGGTTGCATGGTGGGAATAAGTGATTAAGCAATTGGATAGAAGTATAATTAATGTTAACTTCCTTTTGGTCGTTCAATTAAAACATTGTGTAGAAAGTGGACAACTTGGAATCTGACAAACGTCACACTAAGCACTCAAATGTCCATCGTTTCTCAACTGATCCAATTTTCCGTAGGCACCTGAACGCACCAAACACAAACTCCATGGCTAGCTTGATTTAGCATTGTGCAGCTAGCAAAAACACGCGTTTGGACTTGTTGCTGACGTTTCCTCCGCGGTTACGGTGCAGAAACGGGTCTGGGTGGACCGTAAACTGTAAATGGATGTAAGTGACTGCATTTTATCGGCGGGAAGGGCCGTTTTGGAGCTGGTGGAGCGGGAATGGCAGCCGCTGTCTGCGGCGGAGCTGGAGCACCGGCTGGACCAGGCGGTGGAGGACATCCTGGAGGCAGAGCTGGTGTCTAAAGTCGAAAGGCAGCCTCCGTCCACCATTTACGTTCAGCTGGTGCAAAGCCAAGCAGATGCGGGGCAGCAGATGGTAGCAGCAGCATCTGGGAGCCCGGCGGAGGAAGAGGAGGAAGAGGAGGAAGAGTCCCAGAACCAGCCGGACCCTAAAGACAGCGAAGCTGTCAAAGTAATCCCAGTCAAATCTCTGTTTTGATACGTTTCATGGTCTATTATGAGTCCAACCATTTGTTACGTAAGATGACTTATAGCTGTTCTAGTAAAATAATATTGTTAAAAATGTTATGCTTTTTAAGCCATTTTTACCACATTTGCATGTCTCTTTTAGAGTGAGTTTATAAATAATTAATAAATAAATAAATGTTTGACTCTAAATTACTTTAAATGATTACTCACTTATCCAACGAAATTCCACCAGTCAGATACATACTAAGATACTTTTATTCAGAGTTTCGATTCAAAGTAGTATAACATGGGAAATAACTCATATCTAAGAACCAAAAACCTCAGACTTTACTATTTTGATTTATCTTCAGTTGTTGATGGACACAAAAATGCACTTTAAACTTGGTGTTTGATTCTCTAAATGTGTCTGATTGTGTCTCCAGTACATCTCGGACCTGCTCCAAAGCTCCAAGTCCCGGGCGCGGGTTTCGGGCCGGGCCCGGCTGGCGCTGTCCCACAGCGTCCTGCTGTCCCTCACCCTGCTCTCCGAGCCGGTCAGCTACCGGGCCGTGTCCCGCCGCTTCCAGCTGGAGAAGGGAAACATCCACCGGATCTTCTCCTCCTTCTGTGAGTGCGTGGGCGCCATGGAGGAGACGCACATCCGCTGGCCGATCGGTGGGTGGACTCTGCTGTTCCTCTCTTGTTGGAGAAAAGGGGGTTCAGGTTAACGATGGCGGCGGCGTTTTGCTCCCTCTTGTTAACACGATTCTTTAGTTGGAAACCTGAGAATAAACCAGAGTAGATCAAGAGTAAAAATGGACATTTATTAGGTCACAGGTAAAGTATCTGTGGGCTGGGCACACCTCTCAAAAGGACTTGACACGACTGAATGCTTATTGACCAGTTATTTAATAACCCTAACCCTGACATGACCGGCCAGGACCTAATTAATGCATATAACCCTGGAATGTGGTAACTAAGTTTGTGTGTGTGGTTGACCTAATGACGTGTGCATAATTCAACTGGGAGAAAAAGAGAATCTGTGGTTACAGCCAGAGAATTTAACGCAAAACTATAGTTCTAAAAGGAATAAGACAATCAGTGATTTACATAGATTGTATGATAGCATACTATGCTAAAGTGAGTAATTATAGCCAAATCCTAACACTCTTCCTGCAGGCAGAGAGGCGGAGGAGGCCCTTTTCCCGCTCCGCGGCGGGCTGGAGGAGGGGGGGGGCGTCCCTCGTGTCCTGGGGGTGCTGGGACTCACCCGGATCCCCATCCGTCTGCCCATGGGCCGCCGAGACCTGGAGAGGAACACGCCGGACGCCAAGAGGACGAAGAGGGACGCCCACCCGGACTCCTGGCTGAACCTGGAGCTGGTGTGCGACAGGAGGGGCCGGCTGACCCACTGCGGGGTCAGCAGGGGGTCTGAGGTGGACGGGGGGCGGGGCCTGAGCGGCAGGTTGGGGCGGAGCCCCGCGCTGATGCCGGCGGGGTCCTGCCTGGTGGCCGCGCCCGGCTTCCCTCTGACCGCCCAGGTCCTGACCCCCTACCGCCGGGGTCAGGGGCCAAAAGAGGAGCTATTTAACAAAACCCTGCAGGAGCATTTCCAGATACTCAACCGGACCGTCGGCAGCCTGAAGGCCAGATTTCAGAGACTCAAATACTTGGACGTTGGAAACTATGAGCGAGCGCGCGCCGTCGTGCTGACGGCCTGCGTGCTACACAACGTGTTCGTGGACATGGGACGGGCGCCCCAGGGGGAGTTTGAGCAGGAGGAAGCCTGGACTCACGAGGAAGACGGGGAGGAGGATGAGGAGGGTCTAAGGAGACGTGACAGCATTGCAGAGCTTCTGCTTAAAAATGTTTCTGTTGGAAAAATTACATAAATGGAGCATGTCCTGTGTAATGTCTGTTATTGTAAAGCTCCCTCTTGCACACAGATCTGAGTCATGACATAAACAACGAGCTCGCAGATTCCAGTGAATAAAACGACAACACGCCCTCACACAGGCAGTTTAAAACCTACAACAAACCTTTTTTAAAACGCACAAACGCCACATAGAAAGATACACAGCTAGGATTTGAACCAGGAACCCTCTGGCTGTGAGGCTGGTGCTAACCAGCACAAAATGCCTGTAAAATACAATTCAGAATAATAAAGAAAGATGGTGACTTTTAGCGGGATTTAAAATAATCAACATGTTTTAATATCCAGAAGCAGAACGTGAGCTGGAGAACGGATGAGGATAATATTCATATCAGGGTGGATTACATAAAGGCATCATTATGGATTTAATCCAGAACACAGACAGGATTTAATGCCATTTTCATTGTTCACATTCCTGTTTTAACAGTTATTCCAGTAACTATATTTCATAATAATATTCACACTATAAAGAATTCCTGTGTTGCAGTTCCTTCTTTGACCACTAGAATGCACTACAAAAGGAAAGCACCACTGGTAATACAGGCCTTTTTTGCCACATTAGCTTCATAAGTATTGATGTAACTGTGGGATTTGATGGCTAAATGTCTGTTGTCTTCTTTTCTGGTTGCCTCACTTCAAAAATCTCAGGGTCTTCCCTAAAAGTGTATCAAAACTTGTGAAAGGACATCCTTTCTCTTTAGATGGAGGGATTTGGAAGTACATTGGTTTATCTTTTAGAACACAAACAAAACGATTCAGATGCATGATGAGCAAACGATGCAGACAGTATTATTATTGGTCCTCACACTCCGGGTGTGTATTCAGACCTGGGGGGTCCAACCCCAGCCCCCGAGGGCCACTGTTCTTTCCCATTTAGACTGAATGGATCTCCTCAAAAGAGTTTGAAGATCTTCTCCAGTCTGATGGTGTACTGATGTGAATGAGGGGCTGAAGCAGAGAGGATCAGAGCCCCATTCGGACTGCTCAGCAAAAAGCTTTTGACCTCTGACCCCGGCCGGAGGCTTAGTGTCCGTCCTCCGGCCCCTTGGGGCCGTCCCTCTGGGCCAGGCTGGAGATGGCCTGCGCCAGGTTGTTGATGGCCTCGATCTTCCTCTCCTCCAGGGCCTTCTGCTGCGCCCACATGTTCATCTTCCTCTCCTGCAGCTCCATGTACAGCTGCAGCACGTCCTGCGGCGGCCGGGGGGGGCCGGGGCCCACCGCCGTTGCCGTGGGGGGGGTGGGGAGGATGGGGGTGAACCTCTTCCTGGCGATGGCCCTCCCCACCCTGGTCTGGCCCAGCTTGGCCCTCCGCTGGGCCTCCATCTCCTCCCTGCTCTTCCCCAGAACCTCGTGCATGGCGGGGAAGAACTCCCAGTGGACGCTGCCCCCCCCCAGACGCTTGGCCCGCTCCGCGTTCTTCCGGTAGGTGGCCAGCATGTTCCTCCACTTCAGGTCGCACTCGTAGGCCTTCACGCTCACGTCGCCCGCCCCCGACTCCCTCAGCGACTGGTTCACCTTCTCGGCCACCAGCTCCCAGAGCTTCTTCTTCTTGCACACGGGCTGGTCGAAGGCCGGGTCCATGTCCAGCCGGGCGTGGACCAGGTGCCAGGTGGCCTGCAGCGTCCAGACGAACTCTGGGAATGGAGAGGCAAGGCGGTTTGAGGGGTCAGAAACATTTGACCTGGAGGTAAACATAGACCCCTTTCAAAATCTTCTCATAGTTTGAGAAACAGAATCTTATTTATTGACAGTTTCTACATTATATGAGTGGTTTGGGGGGAAGACAGTGGAGTAATGACGGTTCAGGAGAGGCTGGAGGAAACGTGTCAAACTTCACACTGGGACCACCGACCTGCTTTGGATTTGTCACAGTCCACGCTGGACCCCACGGCTTCCTTCCCCTCCCCCTCGGAGTTTGGAGCAACTATCGTCTCGATGACGTCCATCCCGTGGCGCAAAAAAAGCTCTCAAAGCCAAACTTTTCGGATCAGCGGAACGCCTATCGCGGAATTTAACAACCTTTCAGAGACACCGATGAGTTTTGTTACGTCGAGAAGAACGATGATTTTTACAACGGTTTACCCGGAATCTGGGTAATGTAGTCCAATGTGGTTGGAAGGCAGTCTGAAGAATCTTTGGAAGAACTACAATCCCAGAATGCTTTAAAGTGTTCGAGCTAACCTTCCTTTTGTGGCTACATTGGGGAATGTAGTTCTCATAAGCCGCGAGCTCATGGTTACAGTTACGGTAGGCAACACCAAATGAACTACAAGTCCCAGAATGCTTGTGGTCGACACACCTCTTTAGTCCCTTCTCCCTCCGCGACCGCCCCTGTTTTGTTGTTTGGCTAAAGATGGCGTTAGCGGCTAATACAGGCGATTGCATTTTGTTTCACAAAATTTATTCGACCAGTGAAGTCAAAACATCGATGAAATAGAGCTTTAATTCGCCATTTCACTCACAAAAATGTCTCACATTGAGCAGATACACGTCCATGACGTAGAATAACGCGGGTTTGGTCTCTTAACGATGCAGGCCTGTTTTTTTAAGGAGCGGACCGAGGCTGAGAACTTCATTTCCCAGCAGGGATTGCGGCGTCAGGTGGTACAGCTTTCCTTTTTTTCCCCGGTCGGTGTGTGAGGTTTTATGAACGAAAGCTTTACAGCAATTCCGCACAGTTTGAAAGTTCAACTGTTCACTAAAAGTTCACGTACGAGTCTGAAGTGAGGAGAAATGTGGTTTAATTTATTAGGGTTAGACTTCAAGAGAGCAGAGATGTCCCAGAGTGTGTATAACATCTGTCTGAGCAGAGAAAAGAAAAGTTGATAGAGCCCGTTGGTTAATAGACAGAGGAAACATGGCAGCATCACCTGTTAAGGGGGACTGGAAGCACCTGAGGGGATCCTCCAAAGAGGGGCAGCCGTCCTCTCCGGAGTCCTCCCTGACCTGGTGCCTGGCCCACCTCCACAAACCCGGGTCAGGCCCTGAGCGTCAGGCGGACTCTGGGGGGGGCAAAGACATGGACAAAAGGCACAGGGCCTCCCAGTGGAGAGCCCTGGTCGCCATCCGGACGCAGCACATCAAGGGCGGGCGGGAGGGCATCGGGCGGTTCAGGGGTCAGGGAGGCCTCCGGCCCCTGCTGGGCCTGCTCAGGCAGCCCGACAGCTCCAGGAAGACTCTGGACCTGGCCCTCAGCATCCTGGCCAACTGCTGCACGGACAGCGACAGCCGCGTGGAGGTGAGACCAAACCCCCCCGTTTTATTAAAGGTCTCCATCAAAGGGCCCCCAGAGATGATTCATATCTCCTATTTGTTCCACTTCAGGTTCGAAAACTGGGCGGCATAGAAATTGTGGGTAAGTGTTTTTCAGTTCTTATCCGAAAAAACAAAATAAATCTTGATCATTATTTTTCTTTGTGCTCATTTTCTTCTTTGAACTGTTTTCAGTGGACATCATGAAGAAGAACGTGGCCTTTGAGACGGTTCAGAACCGAGCGGCCCGGGCTTTGGGGAACCTGGCCATGGACCCAGAGAGCTCTGCCCTCATCCACTCAGCTGGTAAAGTCCCACTGCGTCTCTATGGATTACCCTCTTCTTTTGAGGGGGGGGGGGTAACTGCTCTAGGTTACATTTAGTGTGGTTATTCTTTTATTAGCTCATTGACTGCCAGCCATTTTCAGAACAGAGAGTCCCATACTGCCAGAGTTTTTTGAGCATTTTGACTGATTTTTCAAGAGCCACAGAATAGTTTGTGCTATGACTATGTAAACACCGAACACACCAAAAGAAAGAGTAGACTCTCTTCTTTCATCAGGAAAAAAACAATTGTTTCTACCTTATTCCGTTCTTCCTGGACTTGCGTCTCACCGGCGACATGTTCTCTCATAGCGAACTGTTACCTTTTTCTTATTTGCCTACAGTCTATGCTCATCTCCCATCAAAAGTGGCACTGCCACCTAGAGGGTCAATTTGTTACTACATACTCTGTCTAGAAGCCTGATATTTACGGACAAGCTTTAGCAGATCGTCCCCCAGCCACTCTCGTTAAAAAAACATAAAAGACGTCTATAGACGTCTTTGGCAGTTAACGGTTGTATTTGAATTGACCACTATAGACGTCTTTGGCAGCCGATGAGTTAACTGCCCTCTCTGTCCGTACAGGCGGCGTTCCTCTCCTCCTCCTGTGCGTGTCCCTGTCCTCCGCCCCCTCCTCTCCCACCGCCGCCCCCCCCACGGACTCCTGTCCCAAACTGGAGTGCGCCCAGTCGGCCGCCCGGGCCCTCCTCTACCTCTCGGACACCCCCTCCAACCGCCTGGCGCTGCTCACCCAGGGGGCGCTCTCGGCCCTGGCCCCCCTCACCGCCCCGGAGCACCCCCCGGGGCTGAGGGGGGCGGGGCTCCGGGCGCTGCACGAGCTGACCCGGGGCTGCGGCGTGGAGGGCGCCCGCGAGGTCTCCCGCTCCGGTGTGCTGGCCCAGCTGGGCGCCATGGCGACGGGCGACCAGGGCAAACCCTTCGAGGAGCTGGCGCTCAAGACGCTGGCCAACATCTGCTCCCAGGGCTGCCTGCGCCCCCTGGTGGGCTCCCTGGGGGTCATTCCCAAATTCGTGGAGGAGGTGAAGAAGGACCCGCTGAAGTCGGGAGTCTTCCTCAGGGCGCTGTGCTTGTGCTGCAAGGAGGCGGTGAACCGGGCCAAGGTGAAGGACTGCGGCGGGCTGGAGGTGCTGGTCGGCTTTTTGTCGGCCCACCAGAGCCACCCCCTCTCCAAGCTGACCATCCTGGCCTGTGTGGACTTTGTTTTCGACGAGTCGGCAATGGAGCAGCTGCAGGAGCTGGGGCTGGTCCCGCTCCTGGTCTCTCGGCTGGTGAAGCTGACCAGAGGGGAGGAGCAGGCGGCCGAGCGGCCGGACGCCGGCCCGTCCTCCAGCCCGACCCCCGCCGAGCTGCTGCACTCCCCGGGAGGGGAGTCCTTCGACTTCCCCCCTCCCGAGGGATACAGGCGGGAGGAGGCTGGTCGGGAGCAGGGTTCAGCCAGCTTTCTGAGTCTCAGGTAGGGAGCCGGTCCTCAGTGGGTACTGACTAGGGATGGAACGGTTTCTGAAAACCGTCCGAACCGTTCGATTCGACTGTCTCGGTTCGGTTCGCGTGTGTTGCGTAGGGTTCATGCACTGCTCCTTTTTCTCAGAGGGAAGCGTTTACACTCCAGAGCAGAAGGTGGCACTACTGCGCCCAAAGCCAACCACCAGTAGTAAACAAAAGAAGAAGCAAAGCAGCGTGTAGCAGATAAAAATCTGACGCGCCAACAGCAGTTTATAGGTCTGCTGTATGGGACCAGTTTGCATTTAGAGGGAAGCACATGTTGGAATTAGCACTGTTTCCCTCTCTTGCAATGCCAGAATCTCACCTATTTATAACCGAAGACTGTCACAATGATGTATCAAATGTCAGACTGCTTTTTTCTTTCAGTTTTAACCTGACTATACAAGACATAATAGATCTTCCTAAAAATCAACATATACCGAACCGAACCGAAAACCGTGACCACGAAACCGTGAATCGAACCGAACCGTGGTTCCGGGTCGCTCACGTGCACGGCTCTGCTTCTCTCCAGGTCCTGGCTATTGTCCGAGGGGCTGATTTCCTCTGAGGGGGACCTGCTGGACTCCTCCGGGGTGGATGGAGATTGGGGGAGCCCTCAAGCCCCACCACCATCGTCCCCTCAGACCTCCTCCCCCAATCCCTACTCCAGTTCTTCTCTCAAAAACTCATCATCATCATCATCATCATCTTCCTCATCCGGCAGTGCTGTCTCTGCTTCTTTAAAAAAGCCAGCTCAGCCCTCCTCAGACCCGCAGCCCCCCAGGGCGCCCGCGCCCCAGGCCCAGATTACTCCCCCTCCCAACAAAACAGGCCAAGCTCCAGTTTCCCCCACGAAGTTCTCCTCCCCGCAGAAAAAGAGGAGGGCCCCCTCCCAGGCCGGCCTGGCCCAGGTCACGCTGGAGGCCCCCCCCCCGGCGCCCCGCCCGGCGGCGGCGTACCACCACCCCTACCACCCGGAGCCCTGGACGGCCGAGTCCCCCGTGCTGCTGCTGCTGTCGCGCTTCTCCCACGCCGGCGACCCCAGCGGCGCGCTGGTCAGCCCCGGCGTGGTGGCCGGCCTGCTGCTCTACCTCACGCAGCACCCGGACCCCAGCGGCCGCTGCCTCCGCCTGCTGGCCCGCCTCAGCTGCAACCCCACCTGCCTGCAGGCGCTGCTGCGCACCGGCCCCGCCGCGCTCATCCGGCACCACCTCTGCCAGGGGGGGGGGGGGGGGGGGGAAAAGCAGAGGGGCCGCGTCAGGGCCAAAGTCAAACAGCTGGGTAAGAGGCCGGACGTTGGTCAGGAAACGTTGTCTTATAAAAGCAGATTGGGATGAATTTCGTGCAGGGGGGGTGGGCAACTCCGGGCCTCGAGGGCCGCTGTCCTGCAGGTTTTTATAGGTTTCCCTGCTGCTACACACCTGATTCACATCAACACAACATCAGCAGTCCCGTTCAGAGCTGAAGCACCTTTAGTAGAGATCAGTTCGATGTGAGTCAGGTGTGCAAAAGCTGGGAAACATCTAAAACTCAATTCAATTATATTTTATTTATATAGCGCCACATCACAACAACAGTTGTCTCCCAGCGCTTTCCAAACAGAGCAGGTCAGACCCTACTCTGAAGTTAACTACAGAAACCCAACAATTCCCACCATGAGCAAGCACTAGGCGACACAGGCAAGGAAAAACCTGCAGGACAGCGGCCCTCGAGGCCCGGAGTTGCCCAGCCCCCGATCTAGTGCGTAATGCCTCTTTTCTCTCTCTGATGGTGTGAACATCTGGCTGTGATATTTTGCTGACTCGGCAGGCGTGTCCCTTCTGAACAACCTGCGCGTCCAGTGCGAGTCCGGCTTCGGCTCCGGCGTGGTGGCCCACGTCATGCTGTCCGGCTCCGAGTCCGACAGGATGAACTGCGCGCTCTCGCTGCCGTTCATCAGCAGGTGAGCGGCCCTGAAGCCCCGCCCCCTCCCGTGGGACGGAGCTCCTAACCTCCCAAACCTGAATGTTTTTTGTTTTTCTGCCCGTCCAGCAACCGGCCGCTGCTCCGCAGGCTGCTGCTGGACGGCGGCGGGCTGCAGCTCGCCCTGCAGCCTCTTAGCTGCGCCGCCATTGGCCCGCCGGACGCGCCGCACTCCGCCGACTGCCAGCGGCTGCTGTCCGACTTCCTCAGCCCCCCCCACCCGGGCCCCGCCCCCCCGCCCCACTCCCTGTACTGCTCCCTGCTGACCGGGTGCCTGTCGGCCCTGACCGCCGGCGGCGGGCCGACCGGGAGCGGCGGCGCCGCCCCGGAGCCCCCCCCCCCTCCCCCGCCCCCCCCGAAACGGCCGCGGCTGGCCGGCGTCTGCCCCTACGCCGCCGCGGGCTTCGACCTGGTCCTGCTGCTGGACGATGGGACGCGGGTGCCGGTCAGCCGGGAGGCGGTGGCGGGCGCCGAGGGGGCGGAGGGGGGGGGGCGGCGACTGCGAGTACTTCCGGGCGCTGCTGCGGGGGGGCTTCGGCGAGGCCCGCAGCAACGCCGAGGAGGTCATCCGCATCCGGGACGTGGGCGCCGGCGAGCTGGTGCCCGTGCTGCACTACTTGCACGGGTGCCGGCTGGGCGGGGGGGCGCCCGGGGGAGGGGGCGGCGGGGGGGCGGCGTGCCCCGCCCTGGAGGCGCCGCGGCGGGACTGGCCCCCGGCGCCGGGCGCGGCGTTCCGGGACACGGCGCTGGGCGAGCTGCTGGTGGGCGCCGGACGCTTCCTGGTGGGCCGGCTGCAGAGGGAGGCCGAGGCCCTGTGCCTGTCCCTGCTGCTGTCCGGCTCCGGCCCGCCGCCCCCGGCAACGCCCAACGCCACGCCCACCACCCCTGTTGACCACGCCGCTCCCAAAACGGAGCCCGACCGCCCCCCCACCCCCGAGCAGAAGCCCGATCCGGACCTGACGGCGCAGATCCAGAAGCTGAACTCGTCCCTGCAGCAGACGCAGATCAAGAAGGCGGAGAAACGCGGCGCCGCTCCGGACAGGAACGCCGTCAGGAGGGCGGTCTCCGCCCCCCGGGCCGCCGGGGGAAAACCCCCCCCCCCGGCCCCCCCGGCGGCGGGCGGCGAGGCCCTGGCGGCGCTGCTCCCGCAGCTCTACTGGTTCTCGCAGCGCTACAGCTACCCGGCGCTGGGCCGCGGCTGCCTGGTCCTGTTGCTGGGCAACCGGCGCCGCCCCCCCCCCTTCCCCTCCGCCGCGGCCGCCGGGGAGTGCCTCCGGACGCTGGCCAATCAGGCGGACTGCACCGAGGGCCTGAAGAAGGCCCTGGGGGGGGGGGCCGCAGGGGCCCGGGGGGGGGCCCCGGCCGGGGGGGGGGGGGGGGGGGCAGGAGCTTTTTGAGTGAAGTTCATCCGCATGAATTCCTGTAAAGTGACAAACTTTTTCAGGGCTTATGGGGGTGTTGAGCGGTTTCTTTTGATTTTGGTGTCATCTCAGCCTGTCATGACCTACTTTTGTTCCATCACCGTTACACTTCATCAATTTTTTTTTTCTAACGGCATTTGTATTATCATTTTTCCTTTTTTTTAAAAAATCATTTGGACAGCTTTTGAATGAATAAATGTCGTGTAGATAGATTTATCAGGGTTGGTCAAGAAGGACGATTGTTTATTTTGTACATAAGAGACGATATGAAAGAGCAGATGTACGCAGTATGAGTTTCACCTGTCCAGTACAGAGTTACGCCACTAAATATATTGTTGCAACATCACTGCTGTGAGTTTTTTGTGACTTTACAACACATCTGAAGGGGGGGGGGGGGATTCGGGTTTTGGGTCCAGGTTTGAGGAGAGCTTTTGGACAAGAAAAGAAGCGACTCTGATTTAGAGGCAAACGAAAAGTGGCTTTATTCCCGGGGCTTTGAGCCCCCCCCATCGGACAGCAGAGAGCAGGAGCTCAGCGGGGGTGGGCCAACCGGAGGAGAATCAGCCGTGCTCTCAGTGGTCGGAGCCCTCGAAGCCGTCGGGGAGCGCGTTGGCGTGCGCGTTGTGGAACAGAGAGTGGTTCCCGTCGCCCCAGGGGAATTTCTGTAAGGATCCAGACCAGAGGATTAGCATCGTGCTCAAACTGGGGGGGGGGGGGGGGGGCACAGCTGTGGGCCGGGCCTCACCTTGGTGCGGATGCGCAGGTGGGGGTAGGGCACGAACTCGGGCTGCTGGTGGGAGTGCGCCTGCATCTTCATGTAGACGTTGGCCATGCAGACGGCCACGCCCGGGACGGCCAAAACGAAGGTCAGGATCTTCCAGGTCCTGGCTGTGGGGGGGGG